ATTTTAGAGTTAAAGCTATGTTATATTAGATTAAATTAGATTTTAAATAATTATATATTAACAAAGTTGGCTTTTTGCCATTTTTAATTAACCTATTTATAATAAGTTTAGATCATTATTTTTTGTATTTTTAGGAGCATAATTAAAATTTTATTCAATTGATTGTTAATTTTTAAATCTTTATTGGTAAACATTCATATTGTTATAAATAAATCTGACTTTAGAACTACAAGAAACTATTGAATAATGTTTTACAAAATGCATTATAAAAATTGTTATACTATGATACTTATAACTTCAAATAATCTAATGCTTATATTAAATAACAGCACTAATTCTATTGTAAAAAAATATTTGTCTAATTTAAAAAACATTTGTCAAAGTAAAATTATTTTAATAGATAAATTCAATAACTGTGTAAATGAATCAACATATGTTGAGTTGTGTTATTGTAAAAAAAGTAAAAATTTAATAAAAAATACTAAAAGAACAATATCTGAGTTGTAAAAAAATATTAGTAAAAAAAGATAAAAATAACTTATGTCAATAAAAAAAAAGATGTCAAAACTATGTTTGAATTCCCCTTCTTTTTTTTTGTAATTTTCTTATAAATGCAGGTTGAGATTTTTCTTGTAAAGAAATAACTTATCAAAAAAGACAATTTGTATAATTTTTACTCTATATAATTAATTTCATTAATAAAGACCTGTTAATCTACTAAACAAAAACATCCTTTAAAAGACTCTGTTATTACCTAGTAACACACTCAAAAGCAGCCTTAACCTGTGCCAAATTGTAACTGCCTCACCAAGCTTTTAAGTGATATTAATGACAGCAACAAATTCGTAGCAACAATTCATTACATTTTCTCCATCTGCGCTCCTGACCATCTGACCTGTAACAATATGAAAATACAATCAGTTATAAGAAAACCCACCAACGAATCTGAATACATCAGATTAAATTTACCAAAAGCAAGCAATATCGGAGAACTAAGTTTCATTAAATTTCGCAGTTTATTATGCAAAGTTGTTACTTCCTATCTGAAAGTACTAACTTTCCATAATTAACAACTAACGAAATTGTAAAACAGATTTAGTTATCCAATGTTACTTGCTTTTGGTAAATTTAATCTGCATATTCAGATTGATTAGCAGGTTTTCTTATAATTGATTGTATTTTCATATGGACGGCTACCTAATCAGCCAATAAAAATTCAAGGATCGACAACCAATCAGATGGGGATTTTCGTTTTTATTTCTTTGCTTCGCGGCGATCATCAAAATTCTATAATTTGATTGGCTCTGTGTCAAGTAATTATACTCCGCTCTAGAAGACCTCGTTGTTGTTGTTACACACAACTTGATCATATAAAATGTAAACAATACCAAAAGTACTGATTTTTCATATCCGCAAAAAAGAGCCCAAGACATATCTAACGAATACACTAAATAAAGCCAAACGAAACCACTATGAGAGAACATGCATATTTTTCAGTAAACGTGAGAGACAGCATGCAAAATCAAGATTCAGAACCAGATGAGGTAGAATATTTTCAAATTTTGGTTAAACCCTTTCAATAAGATTGTCTTTTGTAAATTTGTCCAAGCTATTGTTTCGATACAGTGAAAAGGCGCTATCTTATAAACAATATGGCGAATGTGACTTCATTGAATTATACTACTTAATGAACATTATATTAAATTTTTTGATTATTCCGGAATTCTCTAGGATCAAGAAAATGGAGAGTCATCCTATCAAGCATCCGTGTCTGTTACCCAGAGAGGAAAGAAGAGGGCGAACGAAAATGATATAAATGTTGATAACATGACCACGCCCATCAATTATGCGAAGCGAAGAAAAACCTACAAAGGAAAACATAGTAGCATGATAGTTAATCTTAAAAAACATCCAGCATTGAAAAAATATTGCAAGTTGATTTCCGATTTACAATTTCCTAATGTGGATGAAGTGTCGCAATACGCTCGGCATTCCATTGCCATGTTAAAATGGTCGGTGGTAAATTACGAAACATTTATAAAAGCGGGTTGGAACGGCAAATGTAGGTTCAATATCATATCAACACCACGAATTAAGATCAAATCCGTTTCTACCACCTTTGAACAGCATCCCAATAACCAACTCAAGTCAATCACCACAACACTGTGGTCACTTTATGATAAGGGCATAATTCATTCTTGTGACATCTCACCTGCCAATTTTATACGTTGGCTATTTTATAAGGAAAAGAACTATTATGATATCGATGTCTTAACGGTCGTTTCTGTGATTTTGGCCGTCATTCTATATAAACACACACCGTGCCGCGGCGTTGGCAGTAGTCCTTCCGAAAGCCACGTCAAAATTGAATTATGGTCGAAGATCTTTTCGACTGCATTTTCGCTTCACGACTCGAAACTCCTTCCAACATGGGAGTTTCAACACCTGATTTCCGGAAATGCGGGTCAGGGCTCATCAAGATCGGATTTTGCGGCGGTCGTAAATAACCAGTCCGATCTTCAATTTCCATTTTTTTTGGTCGAATTCGAAAATAATGGATTTGAAGTTCATAAAGATTCCGTCGTGGTGATTGCAGAAGCCGTTCACGAGTTTAACCGGCTTCTAAGTTTTATACACCCGACGGAAGAAGAGGTAAATAAAATCTGCCTCCACATCGGACTGGTTAATGGTACGACCATCCATTTAGGTACACTAATGCCGGTGTACAATCAGCAACAATCATCACTTATATACGTTCATGATGATGTGTTGTCATTCAATCTTATGGGCCCTGATATTGGAAAAAATATAGAAAATGCATTGCGCCTAACGACGTATTTACGTGAAACAGTTTGTACGAGTGGCGCGTTAATCAGGTCATTACTAAACAGGCAGCCGGTGATGTTAAATTATGATTTAATAACGGCATTGCCGGAAACACCTCGTGAGGCCGTTAAATCACGAGAATATAAGACGAAGTTCACCCCACAGACCAAAAGAGAACTATATACTATAGTCGATGAATCCGATTCATATGAATCTGAATCTACTGAATTGGATTCATCTAATTAACATTTCTGAAAGAATTGTGTTAACTGGATGTTT